TTGATGATTTATTTAAACAAATCCCTCACATGTAGCCATTCATTAAGCGGCCACTGTTTATTAATAGAAACTATGATGAATATCCCCTCCTTTGATTGATGTGATACTTCGAGAGTGAAGTTTCGATTACAGGTCTCAATTTTCTTCAAGCTAGGCGCACAGCATTCTTATTGTATTTCACAGTATACGTTTCAGTATAACTATTTTATCTTGTTTCCATACAAATTTATTTTCCACCACTTCCTTAAGTTTCTTTCCAATTGTTGTGCATACGTAAACGTCATTTTGCAATTGTGTGTAAGACCAAGAATGTGAAATGCTTACAATTTAATCGCAACGAAATCAACATTCAGGAAGATGAAGTCTCGTTTTCAACTTTTTATCTGTCTGTTAACTATTATATGCAGAAACGGTGAGTTGATGATCATTAAGATATTAATCATTGGTTTACCATTTATCAAGTAATGTACGTTTACCTACACAAGACTGATAGCTTTATGGCATCATTACCTTTTTTCTGTCGAACCCGGCAAACAAATGCAACAGCACATTTGCTTTCATGTGTCTCCAAAACTTTCTGTTTAGTCATTTTGAAATATCTTGGTTCATGAGCCTTCTGTATGATATCAATGAATAAGAATCGAAAAGAATTGTGGAATTATGATAACAATGACGATGGTAATATTGACGGTGTTATAAACATTCATATCAATAATTTAGAAAAATGAAAAATGGTCTACATTGCACATTTCAACATCCTTATTCGAATACGTTTCTCACAATGTTCTGCATGAATTATAATGTGCTTGCAGGCTGCCATGGGAATAAACACGTTTCCATAGTAACAGCGGATACCATCCCCGTTGATGGAGGGAATATTACTCTCGGTTGCAGCTATTCATCCATGGTCATCAATCGTGTTGTATGGCAAGATGAGAATGGTTCCGTGCTGGCATCACTTAACTGCAAGCCAGGTCCCTGCATGGAAAATGTTCCAAGGTCTCAGAAATTCGATTTGGTGGTCAATGGTAGTACTATAAATCTAACCATCAGGAATTTGACAGCAGAAGACAGTGGGAATTACCAATGCTCAGTGCAAACTAAAGATGGAGATGGTTTTGATTCTATCACGGTGGAAGTACTTGAGCAAGGTAGTCGGTCAAATCTTATTTGATTTGGTAAATTTGGGGGGTCTTTTGAACATTAATTGGGTTTTTTGACATTTTATTCACAATATGAAAGCATTATGATTTCTACGTCATATGATATACTTTCTACTTTTGTAAAGTTAGCTTCGAATATTTAAATAATCTTTTTTTTTTTTTTTTTAAAATCTCTGGCTACATTTTCGACCCGATATAGGTTGCAATGATCAGATTCAAATGTGTTAGAATTTTTCTTTACTTGTTGGTCCTGTATCTGGCGGAAACTTTCATTCTTAAAACGTTATTATTTTTCTTAATTGAACTACAACTATATCATTTCTGTATAAGCAATATTATTCTAAATCATATTCGAAACAATCTAATTAGTGTCCAAACTTACATAAGGATACAAATTCGTTGTATTCGTCCATTGCGTGATCAACCTGTTTTATTTTTACAATTATAAAATTATTAGTATATTTTCTGCCTTCTACTGTCCTGTGTAATCAGGCATTAATTAGGCTCGTGTTTTTTGTTTACATGCTTCTTGTTTCATTATACAATGATGAAGAGAATTTGGCAATACAAATATATATAATCATCTTCTAGCTCCGCCAAACAGAGTATCCATCTTTGGCGGCCACTTTCTAACCACGACTGCTGGTGAAGAGACTACCGTCACCTGCATATCTCATGGCGCTAGACCTCCTGCAACACTAGACTGGATCATTCCGGATACTCTTCAAGTGTCGCTTTGGAAACAGGTCAATGTGGCAAGAGGTGGTTCCTATGTGTCATTGCGGAGTGCTAGGGTGATACCATCTAGGGGTGACCATGGAGTGATTCTTCATTGTCAGGTCTCGTATCCTGAACTTCAAAGGGTTCTTGAAACTGAGGTTCGTCTTGATGTCCAAGGTTAGTTTTCGTAGATATTATAAGTTATGGAGAACTAATGAATTAGAGGAAAATAAATAAAGATTTTATTCGTGACATTGAGACATAAACATTGGTGATACTGTGTTTCACTATTGAACATAATCCGCAGGTACAAACAAATTTTGTGACTTTTCTCCACAAGGTTCGTGGCTCTCGAATTAAATGTGACAGGTATTTCGAACGGTTTCGTATATTTAAACAGGCAGAGGCGAAATATATTTAGTTTTCGTCGTTAAAAAAAAAATCGACAGGCACATGCTGAAAATGAGTGCAAGAACGCCAAATTATACTTCTAGAACGGCTCCCGGAAAAAGGCAAGTATAGTCATTTACATTTGAAATTGTTTACCTTCGTCCATCTTCCCGAGACGACATCTTAACATTTTACAAATGAAAGAAATAATAACAACACCAAAACCTAACTGGTATCATCCCACTGTATTTCTGCACATAGCACCACCAACTTCCCTGCAGATCTCCACACCACCAAGACCCATCATAGAGGACGTAAATGGCATCCAGGAAGTCATCGTCTTTCAAAATACTCTGACATCTATCACTTGCAAAAGCTCTGGATCTCGCCCAGAAGCTAATGTCTCGTGGACGCTTGATACTGCAGACAGCTCTGTTAATACCACTTCTTCTGTCAACCCTAATCCTAATGATGCGAGCTTATACGACACCGAGGGTACCCTGCAGATCTTACCAGAGAGACGCCATCACAATCAGACTTTTCGTTGCCTCGCTAGTTTTAGAACGAGCCGGCGTTACATAGAAGTGTTGTTGCTCGTTTATGGTATGTGTGATATGTGTATCCTTTGTCGTTTCGTCCACTTTCTTACAATAGAGACTTTTAGATTTGCACGTCAACAGCTTTGACTGCAACGTGTGACGTCATTTTAAGGCACTGCGCATGCGTCACGTCGTCTCAGTCGGCGATCGAGAATGAGCCAACCTTGATTTTCCTAAATCTAGTACGGTATATATATGTTGCGTGCGCATAAATATACAGTTCCTCAGGTAGACAAAGGAACATCCCTTCCCTGTTATTACGTAAAAATGTGTAGAACAGGTGTCACATGCATATTTACCTGTTCTACACATGTTTACATAATAGCAGTGAAGGGATGTTCTACCACAGCAATAGGCCATTTCGTAATGTAACCAAATTTAATGCATAAGTCTTTGTGAAGTGCCTCAATAGATATTATTTCATAATAGTATTTCAATAGTCAGAATTCAAACTGAATATCTTAAGTGTTGCTAGGTAGGTCAAGCCATAATGTTTGTCCAACCTGGCAACAACTAATGTATGCAGTTCGGATTCTGTCTAATGAAATGCTATTATTCTTTTTAGGTGAATGAAATAATATGTATTAAGGCACCTCACAAAGGCTTATGCATTAAATTTGGAAAATGGCCTATTGTTGAGGGGTAGAATGAGGAACTGTATATTTAGTCCCCTTTCTTTGTCCGTCATGTTTATAGTGTTACTTCCTGCATGCATGTATATCGTCGAGTGCAATCTAAAAGATTTCTAATTGTAGTCAACATGGGCAGTTGAGTACGTTGACACGCATGATCAGTCGGCGTTCGTCGTGTTCTCGTCCACTCAATCTAAAAGTCCCTAATGACAGAGTTTATACCCGTATTCATACGTGTAAGATTTAATTTGTAATTTATAAACTTTGTGATATAAGGCCTCTCCAATCCACCCACATTTAAAGAGCAAATGTAAAGCGATTACCAGAGTAATAATTTTTTGACACAACCAAGAGGAATATTGTATTGGCTTTTATTGTATTTTTAGAACCTAAATATGTATTTTTTTTTTAAATTATGTGTCCCATTTATTCCACTTAAACATATTTACTTTTCAATCACCATCACATCTTCCTGAAATTAAAGGTACACATACACTCCAAGTCATATACGTATTATTTCTTTCTTTCCTTTTTTGTTTTTCTCTTTAAAAGAATCTGTATCCCAATTATACCATCTAAATATCTTTCACTTCCAAGGACCGCCAGATCTTCCTGAACTGAAGGGCACCCATGCACTTCAAGCTGGGGTACCTGCATCTGCGACCTGCACTTCTAACAACGGATACCCTGCACCTCTAGTTCACTGGCTCCTTGGATCTAGGAATGTCACCAAAGAATCTACACTTGAAGTAACATCACATCCGGGCGGTCGCATCGGAGCTACAAGTAACCTGACTTTCACGCCGTCGCCGGACGATCTCGACGAAGTAATCGTCTGCGTAGTTATTCAACCGGCACTTCATCCTACCTGGTCAAGGAATGTTACGGAAACTCTCTATATATCCTGTAAGTTTAACTCCTCTCCAACACACAATGTTTAATAAAATTATCGGAACATGATTATTATTATTATGTATATATATTTTTAATTGTTTTGACAGGAGATTATGCGTTGAATGAATGGATAATAATTAAATATGGTATTAGGGATGATGAATAATCTTGCCGTTAATGAAATGGCTAAGTTCGTTATAAAACGGTATACCTTTGGCAATAATAATTGTAGTTTATTCGAGATCTTAAACTTTTGGTCTTCTTCTGACATCTCTAATGCTGTGGTAGAACATCCCTTCACTGCTATTATGTAAACATGTGTAGAACAGGTAAATATGCATGTGACACTTATTCTTATATCATTTTCTACTGCTACATATCTCTTTTACACTATTTGCTGTTACAAACTCGTCTCGTTCTCTCCCCTCCTATCTCTCTCTCTCTCTGTCACACACACTAAAACGCCGACCAACCACACACACACATCACTACTCCCACTTTCTCCCACTTTCTCTCCCTCCATCTCTCCCCAATGTCTTTTTCTTACACACGCAAAAAACACAGGAACAAACACAACTCCCTTACCATCTCTCTCTTTCCCTTATATTCAATATGCAGATTCGCCCGTAATCATCCAATCTCATATTCGGCGGCATATAACTTCTAATGGAAGCGTCGTGGCAACATTCACATGTGTTTCTCGTGCCAGACCCCCAGCTTATATCTTTCAGTGGGTTTACAACGAAACAAGTTTGGACAACGGAACGCGGTATTTGATTGTCCACAGGTCGGCCCAAGATGATGAGACTGTAACTTCGAGTATGCTGATTATCAGCGATGTGCATGAGATTAATAATGGAAATTATGAATGCTTGGCTAACACAGATTATGGTGAAGGCATTGCAGTCATCAACTTTACATATTCCCGTAAGTACACTTGTCATGTATCTGATGTTAATGCATAATCCTGAAGTAATTTGAAATCGATATTACGCTCCTGTATATAATATGATGCAGATGGTAATATTGAAATGAAACAATATGATACATGTTTAACTCGAAGGATACTTTGTAAGCCTGCAACAAATTTGCTGACTTTTAACTTCATCGACGATATGTTCTTGATAAACATTTAAACGATTGTCAGTTTAAGTGTTTATTGCGAACGATGAAAATATAGTTTTGTTTTTGAAATGTTGTTAGGTACATTCTCTTCAACACAGTTTTATGTTAAGTGATATTACTTATGATCCTGCATGTGATCCTGACTTATCCAGGTTATCATTCCTGGGTCCCATCAAATAAATCAATCTACACCTCCTGACCTTAGCTCTAGTACGGCGCTGTTCAATCTTCCTCTAACATACGCCACAACTGGTGACAGTCCTATCCAGGCACGTTCTCCTCGACTCGGGAGTGAGCCTCCACGATTAATGTATGTTTCCACTTCTTTGGATATCTGTATTAAAGTCTCAAGACCCCCCTTTTAATCACTTATCAACAATAATATTATGCTTGTTTCACATTTTCTAATGGTAAACAAATGGGAAACAAGTTTTTGTATTGAACTCCTACAGACCCAGACTCACCTTTTGGTTTCGAGGTAAACCAAAGTCAGACGACATCGTCATCTCTCTTCGTTGCTTGGCAACCCGGATTCGATGGCGGTAGCTTGCAGACATTTACGCTCAAGTACTGTACCCATGACAACGCATTGAAGGACCAGGACTGTGGCATTGTCAGCCACTTAAATACCACCAATCATCAATTAAGAGGACTGAACTCATCCACATGGTATCGTTTGGTTCTCTGGGCAATTAACGACGCTGGAAGTAGTAGTACCCAAGAAACAGTGGCATCAACAGCAGGTAAGATTCAATTCTCTTTAAACAATATACATTTGATTATCAGTTCCTAGGCCGGATTTCCCGAAATAATAATCGTCTTTTTTCATTTTGAAACAAACCACACATTTAATAGAATGACTAAGTAATGATTGGTCGGGGGGAAAGTTTTATTTCCCCGTTTTAATACGTGGATATTTTAAATTCATTGTTCGTCAGCAAAGTTACCGCAATCATTAAACCTCTCTTAGTCTAGGCAATAGTGTTTCCGACATCTCTATGCTAAGCGTAATTGAAAATGGAGTACAAAATCGCTTCGTGTGCTAACATGAAATACTGCTTTTATCAAGATCACAATCTCAGGAAGGCCATGATTACAAACCTGTATTCTGACAGTTGGCCTTCCTTTATTTTCTTTTCTTTTTAGAACACGTACCTGTGGAGAAAACAAATATGGCCGACAGCTTCATAGTAACATTTGGAATTGGATTGTTGGCTGGTGCTTGTTTTATCATGATACCTTTAATCGTCGCTGTTCGTGTCTTTGGTGTATCTTGCTGTTTGAAGAAAAGCAAAGGTAGAATTCCAACCTTTCCCTAATTCGTCCTAGAGTCCCTATTGCCATTGTGACGTCAAGATAGTCGGATATTTATCTTTAAATCGATCAGTACAAATTAATAAACTAACCCCTGGAAAATTTTGAAAATATTTTGAGTTTTATCTGTGTAAAGATTCCAGTATAAATTGAAGTAATTAAGTAGTTTGAGTTTGTTTATAAAAGTATTAGGTTAGTTATTTTGTCCTCCATCACGTTTGAATACACAAAATAAGGGATTTGTTTAAGCAAAGATAAGTTATGAGCATCAATAATAGAAACTTTATTAATATAAATATACCCGGTAGGCTATATAAAACTTGCATTCGTTCAATTTCAACCCCGATACATCTCCTCCCTCACCACAGATGAACCAGAAACAGGAACTACCGGCCAACCGATCCATACACGAAGGGTATGTACCACTCAATACGGTTCTTTTTATCTGTTACTATCTCATGAAGAGAAGAGTATTGGTTTCTATTATAAATATTTGCATGAAGTTAGCTTTTACATAAATGAAATATAATTTTTAAATTTTATATCGCTTTTGCTTAATATGGTGACGTTTACCAGAATTTATTTCGAATTAGGGCATGTGGAGAATGAACAGGCAAGATTTTAATAATGCATTGCAAAATCTGATCGGCTATTAATAAATTCGTTTATATACTGCCAACTGATTTTATTTTAAATTGAGAACAAGGTGAGAGAGGGGAAAAGGGCAAATTTAGAACATTTTTCCAAGGAAATTGAACCTACTTCTATATCCTTCGATTTATTTCGGCACACATTCAGGATGATGGTGATGAATTAGTGTACATCGACGTGTCGCATGAAACCACAAGCCCTCCCCAACCCATCCGCCCTGCTCGCACCGAAGAAACCCATACCGTCTATGCGTCTCTGGACCACGATGCCACGTCCAGACGCAAGGAGGAAAAGAACATTGCTACAACCACCACGGCAACAGTTGAGTCACAGCAAGTGGACGACGATGGGTTGGTTTACATCGCCCTCTCACATGACACCAGTCATCCTCGGAAAAGTGCGCATATTCCGAGCAGCGGAGGCACTGTCTACGCATCTCTTAACTTCAATGCCATGGAAAGGCGTAAGGAGACGGACGACTCTCCGACTACCTCAACGATGACGTAGGATTTCCAGCAAATGTTGTTGTTGTTGTTGTTGTTTTAGTTTACAGGCGTTTGTCATTCAGAAGTGAATATTTACGCCGAATTTACGTGAACAAATTACGATGGGTTAGTCTACAGCAATGTTGTCCATGGCACAAATAATCCTTCAAGAAATGCACCTACCGTAAAGGGAAAAGGCCACCGACTACGCTTCCTTTGAATCCGAAGCCACGGCAAGGGTAAAGAAGAAAAAAAAATGGGCCCGACTATTACTATGCCGATGACGACAAAGGACTTCTAATACATACTTGGGATGGGCTGCTTTACATCACTTTCGCCTAAGAAACAAACCAAGTATCCAGAATATACACCTTTTCAAAGGGGGGTAGAGATGGCAAGGCTCAAGGGGGAATACGGCCCATCGCGTCTTAGACCATGCCAGCGATGAAAAAGGACTTCCCGTAAAAATGAGGATGGGTTAGCTTACATCACTCCAGAGCACATTTGGTTTGTCACAGTGGTGTATGTAAGGTTACTTAAGGCTCCTTGGATTTTACCGGGGGAAGAGGTGCAAAGTTTTTTTTCTCTCTTTCAACAGAAAAAAGAGATTACCTTAATGTGACCTTAGTTAATAATGAAATCTTGCATTGTTATCTGTAATATTTTGGGATTTTAGTCCGAACATGATTTTGCACTCCTTTGATTACCACGTTTAAATTGAACTCGTGGTGTTCAGTTTCGCTCTTGGCAGCCCCGACATATGGAACATCTTTTTTTTGTCCGCACTTAAAACTAGAACGTAAAAGGCAATGAGCTATATTTTATTGAATTTTGCGATATTTATTTAAAATACAAAATGTTTGTATGTATGTGTGTAACATGTAACCGTCGTTTAATTCTTAACTATAGGGACAGCATGATATTTGTATGCATTTGCATGCATAATATAGGTACAAATTGAGGGGTACTTTAACAGGTTAAGATATCTATTTTAGAGAAACTTATTGTTACCATGGCCGCAAAACACACTTTAAATAAATTGCACTACAAACATGTCAAGTTACTTTACTTCATAGATAATCGAGTAACTATCTTTTCACTTTCAGGTTAGAATAAAAGAATAAAAAGAGCATTAATTTCTGTGAATATCATGATATATCTATAAAAAAAAACAAGCGTATAGTTTACCTTATAGTCGATGCATAATATTTATTAATAGTGATATGAATTTATGATAGCTTAAAATTGCCCAATTCATCTCCGAGTGTGGTGAGCATTGTATTAACAATTATAGGCAAATAATGACAAAGTCAATCTTCGGTTCTTTTTTTTTCCTTTTATACACTAATGTGACTACAAAATCTGTCGAACAATGTGACATTTTTTGTTAATGTAAGTTATTCAAAAAACGGCTTTTATATTTTCTTGAGAAAATGGGCTGTAACACAAAAAGCATGTTCGCTTCCGTAATATATTTATTGTATATGTTTATCAATTCCACAAATACGCTATTGCACGCCTAAGACATGGAAGAATTGAATCTTGTATAACGTTTTTGAAATTCTAATTCTGAAATAACTTTATGATAATAATGTATTTCTTTTTGGCCTTAATTGAGAGTTACCTGACTTGAGATAAATCAACCCAGAAGCAATTTCAATCACCTCTAGAGTCTAATTAACGTGTTGTGCTAACATTACACTGACATATATTTCTGAACTGGATTTTTATAGGTAGTACAATGAAATATTGAAATGGCCCCACTTTTAATTTCCTGAAAGTCTTTGCGATCTTAACATGACAAAAAACTAAATTTGCATTTTTATCTCAAAAAATTGTTAACATATGGAGCATTCCTCCAGAGTCCTCGTTAAATCCCCGTAAAAGCCCTTTCGCTTTAAAAATTTAGTGCCTGCAAGTTGCTAGGCCTGTTTATATGTTATTTTTACCGTTGAAGACAACATGTATCATTGTTATGTATTCTTTTTTGATTTTTTTCTTGCATTTTTGTGATTAGATGATATCTATAAAATGAGTCTTTGATAATTTTTGAAATACATAAGAAATCTTTTAGACATATAATTATTGATACAGAAAGTGATGTTTTCCGGTTGATTTTCATTCAAATTTTAGTTTCCTCGGCAAAATTATGCTAGTACAATATTGGTAATAAAAGTACTCTATCAAAAAATGTATTGCAAGCTGCTCCATGATGTATGCGTGTCTGTGTGTTTGTGTGTGTACGGGTAGGTTATGCGTGTGTCGGTGTGTGGGTAAAGTTGCATTTCCGGGTGTGTGTTCGAGTGTGTGTATGTATGTTATGTGTGTGGATGTATGCACATTGTCCAGATTTCTCTCATAGAAAGCTTGAAAACCTATTTAATACAGAAGGAAATGCCAATGGTATACATGATGATGGCCAAAGTCATTTATGTACGATCATCTTTAGATGATATCTATAAAATGAGTTTTTTCTAATATTTTAAACAGATAAGGAAATGTTTAAGAAATAGTAGTAAAGCTTTTAGGCATATAATTATTGACACAAAAAGTGAAGATTTCCGGTTGACTGATTTTCATTCAAATTTTAGTTTCCTCGACGAGATTATGTTAGTACAATATTGGTAATAAAAGTACTCTATCAAAACATTTATTGCAAGCTGCTCCATGATGTGTGCGTGTCTGTGTGTTTGTGTGTGTACGGGTAGGTTATGCGTGTGTCGGTGTGTGGGTAAAGTTGCATTTCCGGGTGTGTGTTCGAGTGTGTGTATGTATGTTATGTGTGTGGATGTATGCACATTGTCCAGATTTCTCTCATAGAAAGCTTGAAAACCTATTTAATACAGAAGGAAATGCCAATGGTATACATGATGATGGCCAAAGTCATTTATGTACGATCATCTTTAGATGATATCTATAAAATGAGTTTTTTCTAATATTTTAAACAGATAAGGAAATGTTTAAGAAATAGTAGTAAAGCTTTTAGGCATATAATTATTGACACAAAAAGTGAAGATTTCCGGTTGACTGATTTTCATTCAAATTTTAGTTTCCTCGACGAGATTATGTTAGTACAATATTGGTAATAAAAGTACTCTATCAAAACATTTATTGCAAGCTGCTCCATGATGTGTGCGTGTCTGTGTGTGTGTGTGTAAGTGTATGTACGGGTAGGTTATACGTGTGTGGATAAAGTTGCGTGTCCGGGTGTGTGGTGGTGGTGGTGGTGTGTGTGTGTGTGTGTTGTATGTGTGTGTATGTATGCACATTATCCAGATTTCTCTCATAGAAAGCTTGAAAACCTACGTAATACAGAAGAAAATGCCGATGGTTCACATGATGATGGCCAAAGTCATTTATCTCATTTCCTATAAAGATTGTATTTTTTTTTTCTTTCGGGGGGGGGGGGGTTCTGTAAGTGAAGTATTAAAAAATGAAAATTCTAAAATTGTAATTGTAATTTTTCAATTTTTAAAATCTTATTTAGTCTCTAAATATCAAAAGGATCATTGATTGCGATTGGCTGATCTATATGTTGAAATAAGAGAGTATTTTTATAGCTGTAAGGAATCAACATCCCTTTAAAGAGGGTCTTTATGAATGTACAGTGAAACAGGAAGGGGGAGGGGTTGTAATGTTACAAACCTGAAGCGGCCGAGAGGGAGAGGGACAATGGTGTATTTCAAAGAAGGGCAGGTTTCTGGGGGAAAATACCGCCACTTTTTTTAACCTAATAGTCAGCAGATCAGGTAATCATTGTAAGTCCAAAAACACATGTAACATAATCACCATGATCATAGTATCAAAATAGATAGTTTCGGATGATAACCCCAACCCCAATAACTCCGAATAAGGCGCTCCAATTACTGATTTTGGGGGACTAAATTTATATGGATAACATTACGACAATAAATGCTTCCCCCTCCTCATGCCAATGTCTAAGTTGTCAAATTTCCATGGGGGTGTCACCCTCTACGAAGAGGGGGCGAGGGGGGGGGGGGGCTAATGTCTTCCTCTATGGGTCGCCTCATTATCATTACCAACACCATCACAGTTTGTCAATTGTAATATAACCGATATATTTTGGACACGATTATATGCTAGGCCTAACCTACATGTGATTCTATTTTCATATACTGATTATAAAAGCGTGTTCTTGCTACGTAAATCATACTTTCGTTTAATTAATGGCTCAGCTTGTTAAGCCCGCTACGTAGTATAGGGCTATACAATAGCGCTCAAACATAATTATGCAGTCACACAAAAATATACAACAAACCAAAATAACTGTATATTAATGACAGTGATCAATGCTGCTTGGAACTTTCGCTTTCGTACTCTTTGAGTTTCTGTAAAGTGATTGTGGTTTGTCTTGAATGTGGATATTGTTTCTGTGCAATGAAACTTAAGCTTGGCAGTGTTCTGTCAAAACCTTCGATACAAAAACACAAGCGAATTATGTTGCAAGAATTTTTTTCTAGGATTTGACAAATCATTTAACATAGACGAGAAAGGACTGAATGCAGTGGATTATTATGGAGATTTCTCATCAAATATTAATCTCTCTAATCCTTATCTTTCTTCTCACAGGTGAGTTTGTGGTTCATTTAGCACTTCCAGTATTGACACTCTTTTGTTTTCAATCAGTTTCCCGGTTACTAACATATTTAAGTTTATGGATGTTTGTTTCCCGGGAACCTAGTTGAATAGTTATTCCATTAACATGTTATTGATAAATGAACGAAAATACTTGAAATCCAGTCCACAAACAATACATGTTGCTATGTTAGGCATGCATGGGACAAGCTCAGGTTTTCAAAAACAATCTTCGTTTAAAAAGTATGTGTACAATATTTCATATCTACCATTTTATTTTGAAATCCAAATATTCGTGTCACGCTGTTGGATTTTTTAAAATACTTTCGGTTAGATTGGATTGCCACGCTTTTAATGATTAAAAACGGTTGTGTATTATAAAGGTAGATAGCAGGCAGATATTTGCTTTATTTAGTTAGTGTTGTCAATATGAAGCTTTAAAGCTTAATGTCTAGGAGGCAAACATACTATTTTTAAAGATGAAGATTACACGAACATGTTTTATTGCAAGAGGGTCGTAACCAGGATTTTTCCAACCGCTATGAAGGTAAGAGGGGGGGGGGGGTGTATAGATTGTGTAATCGTGTAATCGCTGCTGTCTTATAAAAACCTAACATTATCCGCATATAACAACCTTTATCTGTCATCGAAAGACACCGCATAATTTACTTATTATATGTTAACAGTATCAATTGAAAGGTCAATTGAACAAGCCTGTGAAACTTGCATGAAATAAAATACTTCTACTACCACTACCACTCTTTTCCTTCATCGTCTTCTTTTTCTTCTTCTGCTTCTTGTTATTATGAGTATTATAATTTTTGTTTATATCATTATCACTGTAAAAATAAGGATAATAATTATTATTATCACCATTATCACATATGTACACATGACCTAAATTTCAGGCTGCCGATGTGACGTAACGGTGTCCATATCAATAAACCATGACAAGATTCCAGTAACGGGGAATGACATCACACTATCCTGCATGTACTCTCCCATTCACCAACATCGGAAGATAACATGGAAAGACAATACAAACCACTTACTAGCTTCTCAGTCCTGTACTACAGACGGCTGCCAGAAAAACGTACCACGTCCATCCAAGTACAACATCACGGGAGATATCTCCAGCGGTAACCTAACCATTATGAATTTGACACGAGCTGATGGCAGGAGCTATCGATGTATCGTAGAAATCGGAGATGACATTGGAAGTTCCACTCTGAATCTGACGATTTTACAACCAGGTAAGATTTGAATCTACCAGCATTTGATATAAGGAAACGCGACACGAAACTGAAATTCAACTAAAATTGTAATACGGCAACTACTACTTCTACTACTACCCCCTCTTTCTCTTCTTACTACTATTCTACTACTACTTCTACTACTACTACTACTACTACTACTACTACTACTACTACTACTAGTACTACTACTACTCCTACTCCTACTCCTACTACCCTTACTACTACTACTACTCCTACTACGACTTCTACTACGACTACTTCTACTACAACTACTACTACTACTACTACTACTACTACTACTACTACTACTACTACGACTACTACTACTACAACTACTACTACTCCTACTACTACTACTACTACTACTACTACTACTCCTACTACTACTACTACTACTACTACTACTACTCCTCCTCCTTCTACTACTAATTCTACTACTACTACTACTACTACTACTACTACTACTACTACTACTACTACTACTTCTACGAATACTACTTCTACTTCTTCTAATACTGCTTCTTCTACTGTTACTGCCTATACTTCCACTTGGTATAATTTCTCCAGGGTAGATACATCGTTATCAATACCAATAATGCTGTTTCTTAGGCCCCTGCAATTATTAGCATCCTAGCATTGCCAAAAACTTATTTAATACACCTGGGTAGAGAGGGACAAGTGTGGGCTAAACACATGTTTAGGATGTAAGCACCGACCGAGGAAAGATCGAATCTGGGATGTCTCGTATGAGAGTCAAAAGTCTTCACCAATATACTAGTCAACTAAAGTGCTGGTCATCTTCGGGAAATCTTGTACAGTTGATTTCTTTCAGTACAATACCAATCTCTAGAAAATTCGACAGGGACTAGACACAAGTAATAAATGTACTTGGGAATATACAGGAAATAAACAACATAACAAATTGGAGGACATTACTTCTGTAAACAATATTATAAACATTGCGATAGTTTAGTCTCATTATTGACAATTGAAGCAGTAGGGCAGTTTGAACACCATGGAAGGTTAGACTATTTCTATGTGACATGTAAACATGAAAATGGGGAGGATTGTCAGTGACAGTGGACAGTGACACAAAAACGAAACTCCATTTTGGTTTATGTGTCACTGAGCACTTGGGCCTTAAGGAGTTAAGTCTATGTTTCACTAGTCTTTGACTCCAATGGGGGTGTTGGATGGAGTTAAGTTTTTGTGTTTCCTAGAAAGCCCACATTTTTCTGAACATTTTGATATCAAATAGTCATTTGGACAAAATATGGAGTTACGTCTTTGTGTCACTGAACCCTCGATATGTTCATTGAACATTTATAAAGAGATCCCTTGAC